TGTTACATATTGAGTAGTATTTTTGTTATTGACCAAATACTTATTTTCCACCCTGATTTACGAATAAATTCTTACAAATCCTACCATGTGGATTCATGGATTTTTTTTTCACATTCTGTCTCTCACAGTTGAAGTGTACCTCTGGTGCAAATTACTGACCTCTGTCATCATTTTAAGTGGGGGAACTTGCACAATCGGTGGCTGACTAAATCCTTTTTTGCCCCACTGTATATGTATATAAATATACATGGCGCAAAGCCAAGTTAAAGCTAAATGTACCTGCCTGGAGTCACAGCTAGCAGATTATTACAGAACAAGATGGTTAATAATTCCTGTGTTTTGTGGCAATTATATCACTTATTCTTGCACAAAATCATTTGCTACTTTACTGACTGAGATACTTTCATGGCTTATGTAAGCCAGCCAGTGTTTCTGTTCAGATATCATTTTTCTGGCAAGAAGAGTAGCAAGCTAAGGTTAGCCAGCTAGTTAAGTTATCTGTACCATTTGTGTCCCTGGAAAAATCCTCAGCATTTTTTTACTCCATCATGTCCAGTTATAACAGCGATTACAAGAGGTACAAGCTGGCTTTCGCAGAAGCAGTTAATGCACTAAACAGATCTTTACCCTGCGAATGATCATCAAACAAAACCTTGAATTACAAGAGCACAAGGCTGTCTTTACTATTGCTCTTGCTGCTGCATCTGCACGGAAAATGCCACAACAGATTTCCACAAGATTGAAACTGGAATACCACAGGGTTGTGTTTCTCACCTTTTCTATTCCTCTTCACTACTGATTTTGTTATAAGGAGGTGAGTCAACTGTTGGATTGCTTTGTAGAGAAGCTAAACATGTTGTAGACCTCAACCAGATCAGAGGACTACAGACTGGGTAGTGCATATACAGATTCTCATTCATATCAACCAAAGGCAGGTAGAAGAGGTGAACAAGTTCTAGTACTCTGGAATCTATTCACTGCTGATAGTATGGTTGTGTGGGTTGTGTTCGGCTAAGTGGACAAAGCCTTAAGTATACTATAATGACTGGAACTGATCTGTGCATCTGCCTCTCTAAACTCAGCTACAAAAATATGTCTTTTCAATTCAGTAGCTGTGCCCACTGTCCTGTATGCATGAGAAACATGGAGAGCAATGGAAAACATTTCCCAAAACCTCAACAAACTGCAACAACACAGCCTGCAAAGGATTTTTAAGATCTCTTACTCGGACTGAGTTACCACACTGACACCATTACTTAGTGATTTCAATTAGAAG